CTATTGCATACCAACCTACAGATTTAAAGGTTCAACGTTCATGAATGTTCACTGCTGATGAAACAACTATCGATTGGTACTTGCTTTTCAATACTTACTTAATTAGGCTCAGTCTGGATTTGATTTTGATACTTGTGGAACGAAACAATTACCATGTAAATACAACTATCGATGTAAAATAATTCAATCAATAAGCTAGTGTATTATTTTCCGTCAGATTCATCCACAAAAACATATGCCTCTTTGATGTGTTAGTATAAATTTGAGCATGGATACAGAAGGTTCGACTAGTTTGTGCCAACTTTCGTCATTTATGGCGTAGGCGATATATACGTCTATCAACCAAAGGACGGGTTTACTGCTCAGCAGCTCGTTCCGTCCTAATTGACGGCAGTGAAACATGGCCGGTAAGAGTAGAGGATATTCGTAGGTTACTAGTATTCGATCGTAGTTGTCTTCTGAGTATTGCTCGTATATCCTGGGACCGCCGAGTAAGTAATGCAGTTGTTAGGAAACGGGTACTAGGTAAGGATGGCAAATCAATTAATGAAGTAGTGAAACTTCATCAGTTTAGATGACTGTAACAAGTGTTACGTATGCCCAATCACCGACTGCCTCGAAGTTCGACGTTTTGTTGCGTAGGAGTAGGTTGGAGGAAAGCTAGTGACGGCCAAACCAAAACATGGCACAAATCCATGAAGTCACTGACAAGTGGACTAAGCCATGTTGGTAGGCGTGGACTGTCTGGTTGGCATCCGCGAGATGATAGCGACCGATGGTTAGAGATGTTGAATGTGACATAGCTCAAAATCATTTGCAATGGCGTTGGTGCATCCAGTCTTTGTGTTCTCCCAAATTCTAATCTTCTGAATTCTTCATGTTCCCTTTTTTCTTCTCTTTCCAAATTTATTTCGCTGAGTTATACTCCTTGAATAACATCTTCAAACCCTAATTTTCGCGATTACTGCTTATGCTTTTACTATCTCTATCACTACGGGATTTGAATCGACAATTGAAACTCTGTGTTAATGTGGTATGGCAACTTGAACTGATGTACGTACATACCTACGAAGTTCTATGCTGTTGCTGACTGACTATATAACACTACAACAATAGATCAATTATTCATTGTACGGAAACGTGAAAAATCACATTGACGACAACAGTAACGAAATACAAACAAACAAACAAACATCAAATGTACAAAAACTTGGATCAAACAGGGGTATAAACGAATTTAGTTATAATTCACTTGATATTGTTTTACTTGAATCTTCTCACTGATATTTAGGACTGAAATTGACCAGTCTCTTATTGGCATATATGCATACTGTGCGTATTGCCTTAATTTAAAAGCATTATAAGCAAAGCTGACGAGTCCCAAATAGGACGAAACATGCGTCCTGGATTCCACAAAACAAGAATATGATTGTTAAAAATAAATAGAATAACAATATAAAAAACAAACATTTACAATTGGAATAAGCATTAAATCAGTCAGTTATTTACAATGTAGGACCAGGTATATATATGCATCGGTCCAAGTTATTACAGTTCACTCACTAGCACAACAAGATGAACACTGAATTCATAGAAATAATAGTTAACTCAATGATGCAATATATAAAGGAAAGATTTTATGTAAGGATATAGTACAGAAAGAAAGTTTAAGAGAAGACAAAGAGTGTATACACCTAAATAATGAATGACAAATAAAGTATTGTAGTATGTTTCCATTCGTTGATGGATATATCTATATTTGATAATCGAACAATATGAAACTTACGATTCTTTCTATGCATTTCTAACCTAGTCCTGTTTTAGAAATACACATATACACATATGAAATAGGTGTTTGGATTATTTTTTTAGGGGATGAGATCGCTAAACCCATGCCCAAACCTCTTCCTTTATCTGGGACTTGAGACCGGCGCAGTAGTCTCAAAAGGGCTCCAGGCGAAGATGATGAACTAGCTTTTCTATCATACATCCATCAATAAATGCAGGAGAAGATGATCAGTGTAACATCAGCCTCATAAGTAGTAGGTCTCAACATACACAAAGGGAAAAGTAAGATTCTTCGATACACCACAAATGCACCAATCAAATCACATTTGGCGAAGATTTGGAGGATGTAAAAACCTTTACATATATGGGCAGCATCATTGATGAGCACAGTGGATCTGATGTAGATGTTAAGGCGCGGATGGACAAAGAAAGGACAACATTCCTAAACTTGAAGAACATACGGAACTCAAAACAACTGTCAATCAACATCAAAGTTAGAATTTTCAGTACAAATGTCAAGACAGTTATACTGTATGGGGCGAAAACTTTGAGAACTACGAAAGTCATCATCTAGAAGATACAGCAGCAACAAACTACTGTGAGAGAGAACAAACAAAATCCCAGTGGAGGAAGAAAACAGGAAGAAGCGTTGGAAGTGGATAGGACACATATTGAGGAAAGCATCCAACTGCGTCACAAGACAAGCACTCACATGGAATCCTCAAGGCCAAAGGAAAAGAGGAAGACCAAAGAACACATTATGCCGGGAAATGGGAATAGACATGAGAAAAATGAACAAGAATTGGATGGAACTAGAAAAGAAGGCCCAGGACAGAGTGGGTTGGAGAATGCTAGTCGGTGGCTTATGCTCTATTGGGAATAACAGACGTAAGTAAGATGTTGAATCAACTGGCTGGAGAACAGACACATGTAGAGTATAACTAAGTTCCAATCATTTCGAAAGGCATCAAGATACACAGCATACTACCATACGAGAAGGTCCTAGGAGAGCTTCATTTACTGTCTTTACTTTTTCTTACTTTCAATTTTTTTTTCCGTTACATCGTTGCGGTTTCACGTTTCGTCTAAGCTCAGGAAGAGAATTGTGATAATGGCAATAGTTATCAAACCAAAACAATTATCTTACATTCAAGCACAGTGAGCCAGAAATAGGAAACTGTCTCACACGTCAAAATGATAAACTTTTAACCATTAATCCATCAGTTTAAACATCTTCCCACCGTACTTAAAGTTTCAGTACAAGGATGGTATTCAGTTCGCCCATGTATGTACAATGCGAGACTTAGAAACGCCATGTATTTATACATACACTTTATAATGAACTTAAATTTAAATTAATCATTTCGAATTACTTAGCATATCCAGTAGTCAAAAATATTGTTCCTAGAGAAAGTTACTAAATATGAAAGATTATTAGGTCACAATTGATTGGTCACTGGGTGGCGATCAATGTCATGCGTGTCTAGTCCTTATTAGTGCAGATCGAATACTATCGGCCATGCTGCAATATGGCCACCAGTCTAGGTGACTCGACACTGCGAGCACTATGTATTGAGATTAGATGGTGGTTGGAGGTAGTCAACAGGAAACCCTGGACCCGAGTTTCGTGCTACTTGGCACTCGTCAGCAAGGTGTACCTGTAATATTGAGGGAGCTGGTGCTCCCTGACAGATACGATCTCGTGTCACCCCGCTTCACAGTCAGAGACGTTACCACTGAGCTATCCGAGCCGCGACTGACCTCCTGTAGGACTGAGATGTAATCACAATTGATTGATCACTGGGTGGTGATCAATGTCATGCTTGTCTAGTCTCTTAGGTACGAGATATGTGTCAAATGACTCCCTATATTAATGTTATACAGATCCTTACATGCATTGCAGAATTGTTCAAATGATATTTCATAGACAAATGATTATAACACTAGTTCTAAGAATGTCTAATGATAACTACACATCAATTTTCATTCTCTCAAACACATGATTTGTATGCAAAAGTACGTTCAACTTCGAATGGATTAATTGAACCTTGTGTAATTAAGAATGTGGATTGTCAACTAGTTAGATGAGATTGAAATAACTGATATAATATCATACAGTGAAACAGAAAATTCACTTTTGTATTGGTTGTTTGAATCTTCCCATTGAAACTTAGGATTGTAATTGAACAGTCTCTTGTTAGTATATGTGCATCCTGCGTGGATAGCCTTGATTATTTATTTAAACACATAAACATTGGTACAAGGAGGCACCAAATACATATGCACCACACTAGTCACTTGATTTGTGTGAGGGCTGTGATACTGACCGGGTGCCCAAACTGAAGCAGATGGTTTACTTAGGGGGCCACACCCAAAACCTTCGGCCTGAAGGTCTGATCCACAAGGCAGTGGAGCAACGTAAAGAGATGCAGTCACATGGTAGCCGGTGACCAACGATTGGTTTATATGCCATTTGTCCCCGTAGGATACTGGAGCCCATGTGCACCATTGGTTTGGAATCCGGTTAAAGCGCCGGATATTCGCTTTTCGTCCTCTCAATTTCGTAAACAACACCCCTGGTAGGAGAAGGCAGTGAGTAGGACTTCCCTTGCAGAGGCTGTATACGCGTGGCCGTATGAGAGCATTTAGAGAGGGAGAGAGGGCCCACCCCACTCTCAGCCATACCAGGGCATTTTGGGGGCGGATAGCCTTGATACTAAGGGATGTATATATGCCAATATAAGACTGATCAACTGTAGTCCTAAATATCAATGGTAAGATTCAAACAACCCATATAAAAATGAATTTACACTTCATCCCATTGCACAAGCTAGTGGCTATCAGCAGTCAGTAGATAAGTCGATAACGAAATAGCGTTTCAAGCGAACGTTACCAGGCTCGAGTTTCACAGTCAACATCAACTCTAAAATGTAGATACATACAGCTAACTATTCATCTCTGCTCAAACTAGAAGATTATATACTCGAAGTTAAAGATTTCTTCCACGATACACTCTCTTCAGTTACCTTTAGACACGATATACTACAGAAAAAAAATGTCACACATTACTCACATCAGATAAACTTTGTTCAATATACAGTAAAATTAATACAAAGTATTAAAATGTAACTAGTTACACATAAGAAAAATAAAAAAACAACAATTGAGATTCAGTAAAAAAAAAACCCAACACAAAATATAAAAAAAAAGAATCAATTCTTAAATGGTTGAGATTGTAAAACACAAGATGATGATAATGAACGTTGAAATAAAGTATTACTGGTAGTTAATAAGGTACCATCATTGTTTAATCGATACATACCAACTGATGGATTTGATGTATTCGGTAAAATCATTCTTTGTTGTTGATGGTGGTGATGATGAGGATGATTTTGTGGAATATGTTGAAGAATCGATGGTTGTGTTAAAGAGAAATGTGATTGTTGATCAGTGATATTAGATGAATTGGTTATGTTAGGTGATTGAGAATGATGACGTATAGAACCATTTAAATTATTCTTATTCTTATTATTATTATTATTATTCAATTGACTTTTAACTTGTACACAAGAAGTCATATGAAAAGGCCAATGTTTTGACTGACAAGTACTATTGCAATACGATGTATTCCAACAACAATAATAATAGGCTATACGTCCACAATATGCACACTATAAGATGTATTTAAACAAAGAAGAAGAAAAAGAAAACGGAGTCAATTCAATTATATAAAATGAATGAATATGATTTTAAAATAAGTTAGTGTACAACATGTTAGATTATCTTCTCAAATCATTAAAATCGATGTATCAGTCAAGATTGGGGAGAGTCAGCTTTCTCTTGAGCAATGCTTTCAAGTGGCCACGTGTATATAACCACTACCAAAGAAGTCCTACTTACTGCCTTCCCACAGTATTACTGTTAATTACGAAATTGAGAGAATAAAAAACCAATATCCGGCGATCTAACCGGGCTGGTGTTATGTCTCAAAGTGACAGCCCGATTATATGGAGTGTGACTTATCGATCGGATCAAGGGTTCAGAATCTCGATAGTCTATTCTGGTCCGTTGTCCCCAACTCTGCTAACTCGATCAAGAAGTCTGTGTAAGGTGTAGAAAGTGTATTCTACAGACAACAGCAGATAACAAGTCAGGCAGGCAGATCAGATCAAGCATACAAGTCAAGCGTATTTATACAATTATTTACAATCGATAGAAAATTTTTAAACATTAATCAATGAGTTCATTAATTGACCTATTTGCGCATTTAATCGATAGTTCATCAATTGACCCCAATAAAAATATCTAACATTTGATCGATAAGATAAAATTTAAAATATGAGTTTGGGGATCTATCGTCCCCAACAGGTGTACGAAGGATCTATCTAAGGGAGTTGAAAAACCTTGGTGTACCAATGGTGTATATGGGCTCCAGGATTCTAAGGAATCAAATGGTATATGAACAAAGTATTGGTCACCTGCTACCATGCGACTGCATCTCCACACGTTGTTTCACTGACTTGTGGATCAGACCTTTAGGTCAAAAGTTCCGAGTGTGACCCATACAAAATGATTAAATTTGGTTAAACAGTAATGACAATATACATGGTGACAAATCAGTTGATTTTTAAGAAAATTTATTGAATATTTTAAATAATAGAAAAGATGATAAGATATGTGTATAAACAGAAATGTGATCTTGAATGCTGTTAGAGGTATCAGGGTGATTGTTACTTTTGGTTGCCCATAGCCCATACCGTAGAAGGGTTCTTCTGGATGTACCTAAAATTAGGTTACGGGTGGTTTTATTGATGTGAGAGTGTGACTACAGTGCCCAAGGGGACAACTGCTTGAGGTTGATCACACACAACCTTTTTGTGAGTAATTTTCATGTTGGTCTGATTAGCCCTAATGGGTTGGTGTCTGACGAAATCTCAGCACGGATTCAAAAGGTCGTTTGGATTTTGCCAACCTATGTTACCTATGACGAAGGTAAGATATCCGTCTATCAATTAAGGGACGAGTATACTGTGCAGCAGTTCGTTCTGTTATATTTTACGGCTACGAAATCTGGCCTTTAAGAGTAGAAGATACTCGTAAACTACAAGTATTCGATCAAAAATGTCTTGGAAATATTGCTTGCATCTCCTGGGATCACCGGGTAAGTAATGGTGAGGATAGACACAGGGTATAAGGGAATGATAGTAAATCAGTTGATGAGGTTGTGATTTTGCATCGACTGAGATGGTTGATCCACGTGTTACGTATGGCTGAATACCGATAACTACAATGCGCAATACTGACTAGTGTTGGACATGGATGGACGAAAGTTAATGTCGTCCAAATCAAAACATGTTATCAGTCCTTGAAGTTACTAACGTCCAGTCTCACTCATGTTAGTAGTTGCAGACTACTTGGTTGGGGTCTGCGTGACTATCGTAACCAATGGTTGGAGACTGTGTGACATGGCTCAGAATCGATCACAATGGCATAGGTGTATACACTCATGTCTCCATCTAAACTATGAGATTTAAGTCGCTTGATATCTTTCTTTCTACGAACTAATTCTTTCTTCCTGTATTATATATAATTATATGCAATCTTTCATTTATATATTATTACAATTGACGTAACTGCTTCTATGAATCCGTTGTTCATTTTGATGTGCTGATGAGGTATGGCGACTTGGACCGATCTATATATGTGCCTAGTCCTACGTTGTAGATGACTGACTGAAACATGGAAAAATAGTTGAATATGTAGTAAATCTTCATCCACTGAGGTGGTTGGAACATGTGTTACGTATGTCCAACCACTGCCTACCTCGATGAGTGATGTTTTCTGGTGCAGGAGTAGGCTGTAAGAACGTTAGGGGCGGCAAAACCAAAACATGACATCAGTCCATGAAGTCACTGACAATTGGACTTAATCATAGTAACAAGTTTAGACCACTTGATTGGGGTCCGCATGATTATCGTAACCAATGGTTAGGGACTTTGAATGACATATCTCAAAATCGTTTGCAATGATGCAGGTGAATCTGTTCTTTGCGTTTCCCTACATTCTAAATTCCTTAAAACTTTGTTTTTCGAATCATATCTTTGATACCTAATCTTTCGTGTTACCATTTCATCCCTCTGTGCTAATAGGTTATGGTAACTTGAACCGATGTACATACGTATCAGGTTCTACGTAGCGACTGACTGACTGATGTTTATAATCACCAAAATGTCATTTTTCTTATGGAACATTTTAGAAAATCAGGACTAAACAATAATATATACTTAATGACATAATAATTAACAATACTTAAAGAATTAAAACAAATGAGATGAGCTGGGATCAATAGTGTCAGTGTATCATTGTTTACAATATCATACCAACTGATGTTATATCACTAAAAGGGATCAGGAAAAACATCTATACACAGAATTTATTGATAGCTGGAACTGATCAACAAGCAGTGTCTCTGTATTCTTATTTATTTTAACACATAGATATTGGTACAAGGAGATACCAAATAGACATGCGCCACAAAAATCTCACTTGATATGTGTGAGGGCTGTGATACTGCCCGGGTGCCCAAACCAAATGCAGATGATTTTCTTAGGGGGCCACACCCGGAGCCTTCGACATGAAGGTCTGATCCACAAGGTAGTGGAGCATTGTAAGGAGATGCAGTCCCATGATAGCTAGTGACCAATAATTGGTCCATACGCCATTTGTTTCCTCAGGATACTGGAGTTCATGTGCACCATTGATTTGGAATGAGGGTTTTCCAACTCCCCTAGGTGGACTCGCCATGTCCACGAACCCGTTTAAAGCGCTGGACATTCGCTTTTCATTCTCTCAATCTCGTAAACAACAACCCCGCCACAAGAAGGCAATAAGTAGACCTCCTGGAAGAGACTATATACACGTGGCCATGTCAGAGCATTTCAAGAGGGAGAGCGAACTCTTCCCACTCTCGGCTGTACCAGGGCATTTAGGGTCCTCTGTATTCTTAAGGAGACTAGTGATCTGCATGAGATTTAGACTTGTAACACATAATGTTACAATAATGAGAGTTAGGCAGCATTAAGAGGGTTTTTGTTGATAACTTTCAAAAAACTACACTGCAATATCAAGTCACCTGGAAATGTTGTTCTAAAGTATCTCATCAGAACGAAATATGAATGTTGAAGAAATCAATGTCAAGTTTAAAAAGGATAAAATCTATGAATATACATTTTTACAAATTTCATAACATTCAATTACTGAATACAACTTACCCATTGACGACGTTTTACAATATCAACAATTCTTATCACATCATATTCCCATATTCTACTAGCAGCTTCCATAATAGCAATAAGTTCATCATTCCATATTCTACGTAATTCACCTATACGACGTTGCATTTCTAATCCCATTTCAGCACGTGTATATCTAACTAATACATTTAAACGTTGAACTTCTTGTTCCATACGAAGAATTTCTGCTTCCATCATACGTTCTTGTAATGTTGGTGGTCTATAATCATTTAATATAGAAAGATCTGTAGATACTTCGATTATATCGGTTTGAACTGATTTTGTATCGTTGATCACATTTATAGTTTTCAATGATTTGCTATCATCTAATAGATGGATATCATTATTAGTTTGTATTGCAACATCACAACAAATTGGATGTAAATTTGGTAGTTCTGAATTAGTCAATGGATAAACACCAACTACAATGGAACAATATATATATTCTTATTGTGACAAAATAAAAACAGGGAAAAATCAATAATTTATCGATGTATATTACAGGAAGGGGTTCTGTGGAGATTGTAGTGACTTAAACAGTTTGAGATTATGAGACAATTAAAGCTAGACCACCATGGAAAACCTGGAAGCACTGGACGGCCGTTTCGTCATATTGTGGGACTTCTCAGAAGTGCGCATACATGACCCCGCCTCGCGGACTCGAACCCAGGACGATCATTATGACAAAAATAATCTAATATGAATGATGATGTTAAATATGCTCATTAGATCTGTTATGATCTGATTTTCAAGAGTTCTCAGTATTTACTAGTATAGTGTTTGTTTTATATACACCAATTGAAGTTAGACATTAACACTGTTGGATGCTGGTTAGCTCAGTGGTCTAGAGGTTAAGCGTTCGCGCGAGAAACTGATAAATCCTGGATTCGAATCTCGTGAGGTGGGATTGTGGATGCACATTGCTGATGAGTCCCGTACTAGAATGAAACGGTTGTCCAGTGCTTCTAGGTTTTCCATAATGGTCTAATTTCAATTGACTCATGAATCCAACTACTAAATTAATTGAAGTATGTTGATAAGTTTCAAGGAAATAAGATACATTTTGAAAGACTTCTTAACATGTAAAGTTGTAAAATTGGCACTTATTTACCTAGTATCATATATAAAGGATGAATAGCAACTGGAAATGATTACCAAGGAAAGGGTTGAATGGAGAATACTGGTGGGCGGTATATGCTCCTCCACGACGGGTAACAGGGGTAAATAACAAAATAAAATAAATACATTTTTTTAAAAATCTCGATGATAATTAACAAATAACAATTCACTGTAGTTAGAAATGTAAATCTTCTTCGTGTTATATCACTAGCTAGTTGCTAATATCACTGAATGTAGTTTTTTTAAAGACCTCTGTGTTAGCATAGGGTGAATAATGAGAAAGTGGATAATCTTAAAACTATTTTAAGAAGAGGAAAGCAGCAGGACCTAACAATATACCAGCTGAAGCACTGAAGTCAGACATCGAATTAACTACAAACATGCTTAACCTTTTATTCAAGAAGATTTGGGATGAGAAACAAGTGCCAATGGACTAGAAAGAAGGTCACCTCATCAAGATTCCAAAGAAAGGAGATCTGAACAAACGTGAGAATTACGGAGGCATCACACTACTGTGAGTAACAGGGAAAGTCTTTGACAGGATGTTGCTGAATTGGATGAAAGACGCAGTAGACGTCCAACTTCGAGATCAACAGGCTGTATTCCGTAAGGATCGGTCGTGCACAGACCAAATCGCGACACTACGGATCATCGTCAAACAATCAGTTGAGTGGAACTCGTCACTGTACATCAACTTCATTGATTACGAAAAGGCATTTGACAGTGTCGATAAGAGAACATTATGGAAACTACGGAGTTCCTGAGAAGATTGTTAACATTATCCGGAGCTCATACAACGGACTATAATGCAAAGTAACAGATGTAAGTAATTTTAAGAAGAATCATTGGAGACATTTTTATAGTATAATTATCACACGACTGAACTAATGTATCTTTTTGAAATCTGCCTAGTATGGTAAGCTTCCGTTGGACAAGTTAACTACTATTATACATCTTACTATCCTTAAATTATTGTTAAGTAATTTTCCGCCTCATGCTAAGTTTGGTTAGCTTACTTTTAGCGAGTTAGTTAGTCCGCTAGAAATGGATAGGACACACATTGAGGAAAGCACACACCTGTGTCACAAGGTAAGCCCTCGCTTGTAATCCTCAATACCAAAGGAGAAGAGGAAGACGAAAGAACACATTACACCGAGAAATGGAGACAGATATGAGAAGAATGAACAACAACTGGATTGAACTAGAAAGGCCCAGGACAGAGTTGTTTGGATGAATGCTAGTCAGCAGCCTATACTCTATTGGGAGTAACAGGCGTAAATAAGTAAGTCATGCTACGTTTCCTATTACTTATGAATTGGTTGTATATAAGCTAAGATTTTTTTTATTTGTGATGTGATAATCAATATATGTAGGCGTGTGTTTCGGTTGTTATGATAAGCAAAAGTAAAAGTTTTATCTTCTTGTTGTATCTGTGTTCCGATTGACTACCATGTTAGAGAGATGTTTCATGCTGAACAGATAGAAGTAAAGATATTAGCGGTTGTTCCACAAGCCTGATGGTTGTCGGTCAAGTCTTGTCATCGATTAAAGTAAATTATGATGGTCTATGTTTAAAAAAGAAGAAGTTGTAAGTAGCTGGTGATAATCCAAGTAATAAATGAACTTATATCATACTGCTACGTTAGTTATTCTCATTTTATTCAGATTTTTAAATCCAAAAGATTATATAAATAATACACAGATGTTCGACGATTAAGCTCAATATAATTAATGACAGGGTACGGGATCGTGGATGCGCACTACTGAGGAGTCCCATACTGGGACGAAACGGCGGTCCAGTGCTTCCAGGTTTTCCATGGTGGTTTAGCTTCAATTGACTCGTGATTTCAACCAGTGAAATTTCTAAAATCTCCACAAAACCCCTTCTGATAAAAGCATAATCTTAAAAGAAAATAGGCAGTTATTGTCGTTATTCAGTATTATCTGTCCAGCAATGTTAAAGTTAGGCATAGGGTACTTGACAAATGTGGAAAATCGGTTAGTGGGGTATATTAAATCATTAAATAAAGTGGCTAGGACGCCTATCGTTATTCACGAACTCGAATCAAGTCGATAATTTTATACAATGATTGACGATATATATATTTCGATAGCAAACAGAAACAATCCATTTGGAGTCAGATTTCGGGTCACAAAATGTCAATCGAACAGTCAATTACTTGTTGGTTGGGGTCTGCGTGACTATCGTAACCAATGATTAGAGAGTCTGGATGACATGGCTCAGGATCGATCACAATGGCATAGGTGAGATTAAAATCGCTTCATACCTTTGTTTCTACGAACTAATTCTTTCTTCCTGTACTACATCTTGACATAAAATCTTTAAATTTGTAGAACAGGTTAACAGTAGAGCAGATAGTACAACTTCTATTATTAAACGGACCGAGTACGTGTGTTCGAACTAAGAAACGAAACCATTGTTGTTTCAGAATATATCAAAACAAACAATCCTGTTAAAATACTTACTATTGTCTGTAGCATTTATTGTAGGAGCTAACTGTTCCTGTAATTTTCGTAAAGCTTCATTAACAGAATTTCGAAAATCATCCAATATCGTATGTACATTGTCTGATGTGTTTGAAGTAGAAGGTCTTTAGAAGTAAAAAAAATACCCAAGAAAACAAATACATGAAATTGAAGACTTAAACATCTTGTAGAAATTTCGATTACGTTGGTACAAAAGCCTCGGAAGGCCTTTGTCAACTTGAGATACCCATGATATAGATGAGATGGCTGTTTGTCAACCAAAGGTAGAGTATAGTATGTAGCAATTTGTCCCGTTCTACTTTACGGTTGTGAAATGTAACTTTTAAAATATAGTAAGGTATTAGTATTTGAACATGGATGCTTTCTGAGCATTGCTCGTGTATTTTCAGCAATGCTGAGATCCGATGATGTGGAATACTAAGAACAGTAAAATGGTTGATGACGTGTTAGTGAATTCTCATCGACTGAGTTGGTTGTAAAATGTATTACTTATGTCCAATTACCGTGCGATGATGATTGGTGTAGTAGTAGATTGGAAGGAAGTTAGAAACGGCCGTACACCAAGGTGTAATATCGGTTTATAGAGTCAGTGACTGATGGACAGAGCCATATTGATTATGGTCCGCATGATTATCGTAAGCAAGACTTCGAGTGGTGTGTCTCAGAATCTGTCTTAATGGCCTAGACGCATTCACTATATAACCTCTTAGATAATGAGTCCTAAAAATACCTTACACACTTTTTGATTCATTTATTTATTCTACTTGAATCACATTGGCTATACTCAATTGCTTTTACAACAGCCAACACTGCTACTACTCTGGCATTCGTCTAGATAATTTGATCTCACTGTAGCGATTTTATGCGGTAGGTTGAATTGATGAACACATCCATCGGGCTCTAAACTATTCATGACAAACTGAACTGGTTTGGTTTTGTCGCACGTAGTTTCCTCTCAAATTTTATCCACTCCAAAAACCACAACATGTCGAGGTAAATTGTGGTTCAGGATACGTGACCACCTAAGAGACAAACATATATAGCCTCACAAATAAGTTGGCCAACTTTTTCTAGTACTCTACGTTATCCCAAGATACGTGACCAATATTTCTAAGAAGTTCATAATCAAACGCCTACAGTGTATTACTCACGCTTATCTCTGAATTTAAAGCTCGTATGAAACGACTGAGTGCATTATTTGACTTACCCAATCAAACTGAAATCACAGTACCAAAAAATATAACGTCTGGATAAAAATGTAGATTAATTTAGGTTATTGCATTAATACAACGTCAGGAAGAGAGAGGATATTAAGGAAATAGAAATCAATAATTGGTGGACATTAAACAACTGTAATAATAATGATGAATGAGTTGAAGAATATCGTGAGTTGATTGAAGTTAGACATGTACACCATTTGATGCCGACTTAGTAGTCTAAAGGCTAAGTGTCACCCGTGAGATTAAAGATCTTGGGTTTGATAACCGGTTGCCATGTTGTGTGTCGGCACTACTGAGTAGTTCCAAACTAAGACGGAACAGCTGTTTAGTGCTTCCAGTTTTCCAATGGTTACATAGCTAGGATCAGCTGGTGATCCACACTATGAAGAATCATAATACAATCCAAATCCATAGCATATCTAGCGTCGAAATCGAGGATAATAACATAAATGTTAGCTATTGGATAAACAATTTTTAGTCATATCATTAAAAGTCTCCGACCATACACAATAGGATTATCTTGTAGACCATAACCAAAACGTTTATACTTACCAACATGACTCAATTCAAAAGTCAATGACTTCATGATATTACATCTCGATATAGCCGAATACCAGCAACTATCGTAATACCCGAATTAGTGCATGAGTATAAATCACCTTAGTTGATGAGCGCCTAAAGTTTCATCAAACAACTAATCAACTTAATCAAATGCATTACGTTTAAACTCACGGCTTAATGAGAATTCTAGTGACCTATGAATAACACTTTCATCTTTATAGATCAAAATATTGCAAACATAGTTGTAGTAGAAAAAGCGAGATGGTTGGGCCACGCGTTGCGTATGCCTGAACACCGATTACCACGACGTGCAATGCTAACCGGTGTTAGAGATGGTTAGAATAAAGTTAGGGGCGGCTAAACCAAAACGTGGCATCACTGCTTGAAGACACTAACCTCTAGTCTGAGCCATGTTGGTAGATGCAGACAACTTGGTTGGGGTCCGCGAGACTTTCGTAACCGATGGTTGGAGACTCTTCGTGACATGGCTCAGAATTGATCACAATGGCGTAGGTGTGTACACTCTTTGTCTTCCCTTAAACTAAGACATTAAAATCGCTTCATATCTTTCTTTCTATGTAGTAACTCTTTCTTCCTGTACTATATCTTTATATGCAACCTTTCTTTTATATATTACCACCACTGAATTAACTACTATGAATTCGCTGTTTATCTTGGTGTACTAATGAGTGAAGTATGACAACTTCGACCGATGCATATATGTGCCTGGTCCTACGTTGTAACTGACTGACTGAATAAAAAGCAAACACAAGAATCACTCATTAAAAAAAAAACAACCGTAACTAACACAAATACTTACATCATACTATCAGAGACACATTGTATTTCATCTGTTGTTAACGGAACTATAGGTTCACTATCATTTTCAATGGGTAATGAATTCTCTTCGATAACAACCGTAATGTCATTGCTCATATTATTATTATTATTATCATCTTTACTATTGATCTCATCACTATTGGCCAAATTGGTAATGATAGTTGTTGTTTTATGTTCAGTTAATAATGGTTTTAAAGTAATTTTTTTCAAATGATGATGTTTACTCTTTTTACGTTTTTTCTTATTATAATCAATTGTATCATGAATATCTTCCGAGCTAATACTTTCTAATTCCATAGTTATTGTTGATGATGAAGTTGTATCATTATATTTACGTTTCATAGGATTTACATCAATTATTGGTTGACATAAAGTTTGTAAGACTGTTGATGATGATGTTGTTGATTCTGATGTAATAATTGGTGAATTACGTAGACTAGCAGCAACACGTGTTAAAACTGGTTCACGATATACATCATTTGTAGAAGGTATATGATTTGATTTAATTGTATTATCTATTTTTTCATTAGTTGTAATATTAACATTTGTTGAAGGGATTGTATTGATACTATGAGAAGTTGTATTACAAATCACTTGTGTTGTATTTACAGTATGATTCATATCAATGATAGAATTAGTATCATTAATGAGATTTATTGTTGTTTCAGTTGTAGAAGAAGTAGGAGAAGGAGTTTCAATGAATGGACTATGAAAAGAAAACAATTTTGGGTTGATATTTGAAAAAAAAAATTAACCTTTTCCCCACATTTATCAATTCTTTAGTTTAATTTGAATGAATATCAGAAGGGGTTTTGTGGATATTATAGTTCAGATCATGAGTCAATTAAAGCTAGACCACCATAGAAAACCTGCAAGCAGTGATCGGCGGAGTTCAACCAGGTCTGTTGTGAGAGAGTAACTCACTAATGACAATGGTGGATATGTCGCTCAATTTCGTGGATTAGTTGAAGTTAAACATTAACACCATTGGATACCAGCCAGCTCAGTGGTCTAGTGCTTAAGCGCACGCACGCGAGACTGATAAGTAATGTGTTCGGATCTCGTGAGGCGGGATGGTGGATGCACACTGACGACGAGTTCCACAATAGAACGAAACGGTAGTCCAGTGCTTCCAGGCTTTTCATGGTGGTCTAGCTTGAAGTGAATCATGATCTCAACTATTAAAATTAATTTAAATTATTATGACAAACTTTATGAATAGATGCTTAGTGTTCAGTTCCAATTATTAGAACGAATAGTCAACTAAACAACGCCAAACACCTTGGTTGAACATTCACACTTAATTCGTTAATTAAAAAATTAATGTAACTAAATCTTGGGATATGAAACGATAGCTTAATGTTCATAAGTACTAAGCTTCCAACCAAAAAGTCACATGTTGGGATCTGGCAACAATGACTTAGTTCAAGGAGTGTCATTTTATTTATTTAAACACATAAACATTGGTACACGGGGGCACCAAATACATATGAGCCACATAAATCATTCGATTTGTGTGAGCGCTGTGATACTGCCCGAGTGCCCAAACCGAAGCAGGTAGTTTTCTTAGGAAGCCACACCCCGAGCCTTTGACCTAAAGGTTTGATCTACAAGGCAGTGGAGCATCGTGAGCAGATGTAGTTCCATGATAGCCGGTGACCAACGATTGGTTCATACACCATTTGTTCCCGCAGGATACTGGAGCCCATGTGCGCCATTGGTTTGGAATCCGGTTAAAGCGCCGTACATTCGCTTTTCGTCCTCTCAATTTCGTAAACAACACCCCTGCTAGGAGAAGGTAATGAGTAGGACTTCCCTGGCAGAGGCTGTCATCAGTTTTGATGCAAGTAGAATGTATCGAAGTCGAGTAAATAACATATGCATTTAATCAATGAAATACATGATTACAACAAAGGTTGTAAATTACACGTTCGGATATTTAGATCAGAGACACAATGTTGGTGTTATGGATAGTGAAAATGTTATATCCCAATGAAGATCAAAACTATGAGTAACTTCTGAGAACTATTCTTATTCTATAATTATTCAGTAACTAGGTTGTGTGTATCTATATTCCTCTTATAATAACCTTTATTTTGACCTAAAGATTATACGATTTACTGTTCTTAAACTATACTCAGTTTATTAATTAAAGTTTCCCACATTCATAACTATTTTTTGGCTTGATCTTGTGTATAAATTTTCTTTTCTATTTGATCCTGTCTGTTTGGTTGGAATATAAACCAAGTATGTTTGAAATAAATGATTCATATAATGGAAGCTGTTATTGGTGTTCTGGACTCAACTGGAAGAGCTCGATCAACAAAGGATCAATAAGGACGCTAGGCTGCTCATAGCAGTTGAATGTCATTGGGTTTGCACAGTACTATGAGTTGTATTTCGATTATGGCTTAAAGTCACAACAGATAATAATTGGTGATTTGTTATGACGAAGGAAAACGGTATAAAACGCACAAGTGTCTTCTATGGATTTATAATAAGCTGATTGGGATTTTTTTATTATTATCTACCTGTTGTGATTTAAACAATTAATGTGCTATGTAAAAGTATTTATTAGTTTGACTGATAGTATCTGAACCTTTTATCTATCCTCCCATTAGTTGTAAATATAAATAATCAATAACTTATCCATTATTGATTAACAATATTTCCGGTTTGCGTCTTTTAAACGAGTTAGTTTTCTACAGGATGGGGTTGCTAACCCCATGCCCAACCCTCCTCCTATATCCGAGCTTGGGACCAGCAGTATCCCCAGAGGAGCTCACTCACTCACTGCCTAACGTGCTTCTCTCTCTCTCTCTCGTGGTTATGGGTTTTATTAATTATTAACAATACTATCCCAATAACTAGTGTTCTGGCTTTTGAATATCCTCAAGTAAATTCATAGTACTACTACAATAATTGGCCTGGTAAAATACTTAGTTAACGAGACATTATATATTGGAGTCAAATGGAGAAGAATTAACCTATATATGTTCAAAATGACGTTCTTCTGTTAAGGACTCATTTTTGTCTTTCATCTTTCTAGTATTGACAACAACAAAGGAAATTGAATTAAGATTTGTCTCTAAAAGGTATTTTTGTGTGAATATATATCACTGACAATATTGGAGTGGAAAGAATTCAACATGACATACAATAGAAAAACAATGATATCAAAGAATATTAGGCGGTTAGAGGTGGTAGTTGATCAGAGACCCTAGTCCTAAGTTTCCTGCTAGTTGGTACCTATCATGAAAGAGCACGTGTAATCTTGCAAGAATTGATATTCTTTCACAGAATAGTAATTATTGTCATGTTTGTTTGATCAAATTTTATCGATTAAGGTGTGTCTTTTTGATAAATGTTAACTAGCCTAAAACATAAGTTATGGATTTCTTGAAGACTACTTTCAACCATGTAATATAATATCACAGTATACTCTACTGGATGTTAATTCACTTAGACTAATGGCTACATTACAATTCGATTAGTATCAAAGAATTGGAAAATCATGAAACTAGGGATCAATTAATTGTAAATATCGACAAATGATCAGATTTACTAGAAACAGACGGGAAATACACATAAATTCACTTGGTGTTGTTTTACTTATATCTTCCCATTGTTATTTAGGACTGCAATTGATTAATCTTATGTTGGCATACGTGCATCCTGTGAGGATTGCATCGATAAAGCCTTAAATCACAAGCTTTTTAAGCAAAGATGGACAGTGACTAGCCGTGGAATAGTCTCTGTCAGGGAAGTCCTCACTTCCTTCTACTACCGAAGTGTTGTTTACAAAATTAGAAGGACGAAAAGCGAATTCTGGCGCTTTAACCGGTTTAGTGAACACGAAGAGTACACCTAGGGAAGTTGGAAAACCCTGATTATAAACCAATGGTGCATATGGGCTCTAGTATCCTGAAGGAAGAAATGGCGTATGAACCAATTATTGGTCACCGGTTACCATGTGACTACATCTCCTCACGATGCTCCACTCCCTTGTGGGTCGGACCTTAAGGTCAAAGGCTCTGGGTGTGACCACCTAAGAAAACCATCCGCTTCGGTTTGGGCAGCCAGGCAGTATCACGACCCTCACACAAGTCAAATGAGATTTGTGTGGCGTGGCTCAGTGGTCTAGAGGTCAAGCGTTCGCGCGTTCGGATCCCGTGAGCGAGATCGTAGATGCTCACTGCTGAGGAGTCCCATAATAGAACGAAATATCCGTACAGTGCTTCAAGGTTTTCAATGGTGGTCTAACATCAATTGATTCATGGCCTCAATCAAGAACTGTCTCATTTTAATTTTGACATTATTACCTGTTAATTAATATTTATAACTTCATCAGCTATATATATGTAGACATACAGTTTATTCATTTGCTAACTGATAGGTCGTATGGGACCAGCTGCAAACAGTTGTCAACATTCAATTACCTTTCCTGAAGTATCATCATCGAATATTGATTCTTTCATAATGTATAAATCAATAGGTCAATCAGTCAGTAACAACGTAGAAGTTTGTACGTACATACGTATGTACATCAAATAAAGTTGCCATACCACATTAGAACAGAGGTGCAGTTATCGATTCAAATCCCATTGTTAGAGGTAGTAAAAGTGTAAGCAGTAATCGGAAACATTTAGCTTTGAAGATGTTATTCAAGGAGTATAATCCAGTGAAATAAATATCGAAAGAGAAAAAAAGGAGACAACGAGGATTCAGAAGATTAAAAATTTGGGAGAACACATAGACTGGATACACCTGTGCCATTATAAACCATTTTGAGCCATATCACATTCAACCTCTCTAACCATCAGTTGCTATCATCTCACGAATCCCAACCAGATATTCTACACCTACCAACATGACCCATCAATAAGAAATAAAAAAAATCTAACCCCCCATATACACATTAATCATCAATGAATTATTCATAAATAATAAATAACAATTATAAAATATGATGCCAACTTACAGATAGATGCTGAAGAATATCACAAAAGTAGAAACTTATAAAAGAAATTCTAATCAAAATCAAATTGTATATCATATAACTAAAATATGTTCAATGTGTTTAATGCCAAATTGTAATTCAGGTAGTAGCAGTAGCAGTAGTAGTAGTAGTAGTAGTAGCAGTGGTAGTAATAATAATATGATAAATTCACAGAATATATATATATATATATATATATATATATATATATATATATATATACTTGGTCAATGGTTAATTACTAAGGTCCGTGAACAATAACAGTAGTAGAATAAGGTAGAAACAGATGTGTACACACACACACACACACCTACATATATATATATATATATATATAACAGTTACTATATATATATTTGAGTTGTTCTTTGGTCTAACTAAAGAATAGCACTCAATTTTCTATAGTTTCACATGTAGAAAAAAAAAGGTAATCTGAAAAAATTTTATATATAATTGAACTTTGAACAAATTTTTTCTTCAATCAAGTAAAACACAAACTCACCAAAAGTATTGTTTCACACCTATCTCTCTCTCTCTCATACACACACACGCGCGCGCATGCACATACTCACTCACTTGTTCACTTATCATACATTTTGAAGAACTTTATTCATCAGAATTATAATTAATGACCAGTCAATAGTAGTTAGGTAGGTAGGTAGGTAGGTAGGCAGGTAAGTAGGTAGGTAGGTAAGGTAGGTTAGTTGCATACACTAACATTGTAAGTGCATTAATTAAACAATACCAATCTATAGTAACAAATTTATTTATTTAAATAGATAGATAGATACATAGATACATGGTATGATCACAATTTAAGAACAAGAATAGTAGTAGTAGTAGTAGTAGTGGTGGTAATGAAAGAAGAAAAACAATAAGACAATATTAATCAGGTATTTAATGAGCTAACTTTAAAAAAAATAATAATAATAAAAGGTCATCATATATAATAATGATAAATAGATAAACAAATGAAACGATTTATTGTGAATATTATACATAAATGTCATGATCTTAAGTCAATTGAATAATGAAGATAATGTTATAGTAGAATATTGGTCTGGTTGATTTCTATATTCATTTATTTAAACACATAAAACATTGATACAATAAGGTAAGGGTGTGAGAGCTGTGATACTGCCTGGGTGTCCAAACTGAAGCGGGTGGAGCCTTCAACCTAAAGGTCTAATCCACAAGGCAGTGGAGTAACGTAAGGAGATCCAATCCCATATACTATTTGTTCCTTCAGGATCCTGGAGCCCATGTGCACCATTGATTTGGAATCAGGGTTTTCCAACTCCTCTAGGCGGATCCTCCATATTCACTAACCCGGTTAAAGTGCCAGACATTCACTTTTTGTATCCTCTGAATTTCGTAAACAACACTTCCGTCGTGAGAAGTCAGTGAACCTAATGTACTAAGGAGACGTTAATTTAGGTTTCTGGTTGTCGGAAAAGATGATAAAACTTTATCATATAGATTGGAGACAAATGAAGCCAGTTTGATTGAGACAGTGTTGTTTATTTGATCGAATAGTTCTAAGAATTCTTCAATGTAGGTCATCTCACACATTACTTTTTTTCAAGTAAATAGATTCATATAAGATTAAATATTATTTAGACTATGAGTTTTTCATAATATGGCCTAGATTGTTGATTCTATGCAATCATTAACTATCCATAAAATTCAGACTGATTCAAGGTTAAGATAATAACGTCTAATACAACTACAAATCAGTTCAATAGTCCATAATTCTAATCAACAGACCAAAAAAAAGAAAGAGAAAGAATGGAAAGTATAATATCGATACAAGTTGAACGGAGAAATATTACATGAGAATAAAAATAGTAATTGATTAGGTTTACAATTAGGCAATGAAATTACCAATAGAAGGGGTTTTTCTGGAAAACCTGGAAGCACTGGGTGGCAGTTGCATCCATGATAGTCTAGCTTCAATTGACATATAATCTCAACTATTGAAATTACTATAATATCCACAAAAACCCATTCTGATACTAATCAACATATGCTCACTAATGACTGGCTTCAAGAGGTATATCCTGGAGTTCTAGTGAGAAACAGTGATCAGCAAAGTTCAACCGGGTCTGATGTGAGAGAGTAACTCACTGATGACAACGGTGGATGTGGCGCTCAATTTCGTGGATTAGTTGAAGTTAGACACTAACGCCATCGGATGACAGCTAGCTCAGTGGTCTGGTGGTTAAGCGCTTGCGCGTGAGACCGATAGGTCCTGTGTTCGAATCTCGTGAGGTGGGGATCGTAGATGCACACTGATGAGGAGTCCCGTACTGGGACGAAACGGCCGTCCAGTGCTTCCAGGTTTTCAACGGTGGTCTAGCTTCAATTGTCTCATGATTTCAATCAGTGAAATTTCTAAAACCTCCACAAAACCCCTTCTGATATATAGAAAATGTTTATTTGTTTTTCGCTTCAAGAAAACTCAATAATGTTTACATCACCAATGAAAATTATTAATTATCAACAATCAGGTTAACAGTCAGTCACCTACAATGTAGGACCAGGCACATATATATGCATCGGTCCAAGTTGCCATACCTCATGAACACAACAAGATGAACAACAAATTCATAGAAGTAGTTACTTCAATGTTAATATTTAAAAAATGATTGCATCTAAGGATATGATAGAGGAAGAAAGAACTAGTTCGTAAAAAGAATGGTAGAAAGTAATTTTAATCTCATTGTTTAAGGAAAGACAAAGAGTGTATACACCTATGCCATTGTGATCGATTCTGAGCCATGTTACCCAGAGTCTCCAACCACTACTGGTTACGATAATCACGCAGACTCCAGTCAAGTCGTCTCCATCTATCTACATAGCTCAGACTAGAAATTTAGTGACTTCAAGGACTGATGCCATGTTTTGGTTTATCTGCCCCTAACTAACACAAACTGAGTGATTATTGTGGACAACATTAAGTGAGAAAGTATAAACGAATTAAATTATATTGAAAATACTTCAGGTAAACTTATAGTCATATCAATCTAAATCACATTGCTTAACAGATTAAATCTGAATAAAAGATAACTTGACTAACAGACAATCGATGAATCAGTAAATTATCGTAAGAAAGCAATCTATATTAATATTGGGATAACAGAAATATGGCAGATAACAACAATCACTAAATAATATGCTGAATCCTTTATATCTAGTACCATATCTTTGTCCTCTGAACCGATTAATTCGGCTACAGTGCCGAACACTGGCTTTTCATCCAATGAATTTTGTAAACAACACCCCCGCCGGGAGAACCAATGAGTAGAGCATAGGCTACCCCAATAGCATTGTCCATCGAACTTCGTCCTGAACAACCGTTTCCAGTTATTATTCAACCTTTTGAATTCTGATTTCAATTCCCAACGTAGTTTGTTTTTCTACCTTCCTCTTTTCCGTTCCCCTTCACGATTCCAAGTTAGCGCTTGTTTCGTGATGCAGTTTGATGATTTCGTCAATGAATGCCCTATCTAGTTCCAGTGTCTTCTCTTAATTTTATCTTCAGTTGGATGTTGGTATTTTCTCTCTCATAATAGGCTATTGCTGATAGTATCCGGCTTATTGACATTGAGTACCTTGTCTAAATAATTGTTCATAGATACATGTGATTTTTTGATAATGGTTGTGGTAGTTCTCGAAGTTTTTCCAATCCTTGCCTTTACATCTACATCGGATCCTCCTTGTTCATAGACGATGTTGACCAGGTACGTGAAAGTGTCCACCTCTTTCAAAACTTTTTCATCAAATGTGATTGAATTGGTTTTTCTCCATGTTGGATATGAGAATCTTGCTTTTTGTTTTGTGTATATTGAGACCTACTACTACATATTCATAGAGCATTTCAATAGGGTAACTAATTTTCGCAAAAAATATATAATATTTGATTGATCAGTTTATTGTACAGATCACATAAATATGAATGATAGTGATAAATACATCATTTAGTTATAGATCGATCACATGGATCACAAACATTGTGAATTCTGATCTTATATAATTTAGATTCGAGTCATTTCTCTAGTTTCCAATATATAGTCTTATCTGATTTGTTAGCCCCCAAATACCCTGGGTACGACCGAGAGTGGGGAGAGTCCTCTCTCCCTCTTCAAATGCTCACACATGGGCACGCGTATATAGCCTCAGCCAGAGAAGTCCTACTCATTGCCTTCTCGTGGCGAGGGTGTTGTTTACGAAGTTGAGAGGAAGAAAAGCGTATGTCCGGCGCTTTAACTGGGTTCGTGGACATGGAGAGTCCATCTACGGGAGTTGGAGAACCCTCATTCCAAATCAATGGTGCACATGGACTCCAGTATCCTGAAGAAACAAATGGCGTATGAACCAATCGTTAGTCACCGGTTACCATCGGACTGCATCTCCTCACGATGCTCCACTACCTTGTGGATCAGACCTTCAGGTCGAAGGTTCCGGATATGGTCCCCTAAGAAAACCACCTGCTTCAGTCTTGGCACCCGGGCAGTATCACAACCCTCATACAAATAAAATGAGATTTTTGTGATGCTTATATATTAGGTGTCCCCTTGTACCAATATCTATGTGTTAAAATAAATAAATAATAGTAAACTCGAGTCGATCTGGGCTTTTCCAAGTTATGACTGATCGATGATAACACTGAAAATTTATAGACATTCAATAATAAAATTGTACTTTCATAATTACTTACCCATAATATTTTTTAACATGACGTTTAGTAAATCTCAATTGACTAATAGGTAGTTTAAATTTAGGATAACGTTGATAAATTAAATTTAGATGATAATTTAATTCTGCAACAGCTTTATGAAAATTCTCTTTAACCATAGGATCCATTGTTGTTGTTGTTGTTGTTAATGTTGAAGGTAATGATGATGAAGTTGTCTTGGAAGATTGAGAAGTTACACTAGATTCATTAGAAATATCATTATTATCAATAGAAGTAATGGATTTGGTACCACTACAATCAGATTTACTTTCTTTGTCAATATTATTATTATTATTATTAATAGAATCTATAGTGATGGTAGATAGTTTTGATAAACTTTTTGATTGACTAGATGAATGAAGTTTAGCGGAACCAATCGGTGCAATAGTCACATCATAATCACCAAAAAATGAGACAAGAAGAAAGTTACCATCATGTGCAATTACTTTGGCTGGCCAACGTGGATAATTTTGAAGACGTACCCAGACAATCGGATGAATCACATCCTAAATAATGATAATGATAATTCTTATGATAAAAATCGAATTATAGATAGGACAAATATTTAGTTTCAATCATTTGCTTACACGCAAGTTTGAAAATGTAAAAGTACATTACAGTAATAAGATTCAGTGACCCTTAAACGAATCATAAGAAAGTAACACCATAGATAGATAAGATGTATTGATGATGAATTAGGGTTAGGAGTTTTAACTACAATTCAGGTATATGAATTTTAGGGCTTGAGAATAGGGTTACCTGGTGGGTGGCCTATGCCCCTCCACGAGGAGTAACAGGCGTAAGTAGCTAATTGGATTACGCTTAGAATGTATAACATTATTAGTCAAAGGCAATGATAATACATTGAGTAGACGAATGCTCTTTATCTGTACACAGATAATGTAGTTCTTTGATTTTAAAATATAAAGAATCTTAGGGTTCGAGTCCTGCATACAGGATCGTGGATGCGCACTGCTGAGAAGTTCTATACTAGAACGAAACGACCATCCAGTGCTTCCAGGTTTTCATTGATTTTCTCATTATCACAATTATTATATTAAGTAACTGAAAATTATAACTAAAAACTACTGAGTTATATATTTGCTCTTTCTTAACACATATTAACATAGTGAGATAAAATTAATAAGATGAATCGAGAATAAGTCAAAGTAATGGTACTTCACGCGACCATTGATCGGAATAACTATAGATGTCATGTGAATGGTGCGAATGATCCACCAGGGTGCTTGATACCTGTGTGGTTGCGCCATAGGATTGAGCTATACTATTCAGATTGTAGCGTTAAAGCATATACAGTGTCTGGTTCTCCTGTGAAGCGGGACTGATCTGTACTGCTCGAATTATAAAATTTAAGCCTGGGCGATGTCTGGCTCTCCATGTAAACAGGATTGAGTTGTAATGTTTGGGTTGTCATGTGAAAATCTGGATGGTGTCTGGTTCTGAAAACCAATGTAAAATGACCCTGGTTTACAAGGGTATATTATACAACTATATAATGGTACTTTGAATATAACTGTGAGCAGGACTAAATATAAACAACACAGGGTTCGAAGAAGTGAATGAATTTATAGAGTAAAATAACTGTATTTAACTTACAGTGATCATTTTTGAGATGTGTCAAACCCCCCCCCCCCCAGAAATCTTCAGCGTTTTTGTCTCTATATTACATTTAAGTGCAATTTTTAGTAAAGTTGAATAATAGCTAACAGTGAATGTTTGAATTTACAACCCCTTTAATTACGAACTGATCAATTGAAAGTATCTAATGTAATCTCAATGTTAATTTTCACACTGTGACTCAAAATTAAATACTAAATCATTATCTCTTTTAGCTACTGAGTTCACATAGCTACATGTATATACTTATATATATGTAAATGGCTGAGTGTTCCTGGTGATTATACATTTGATACTTATCCAAGATTAATGGCTCAATCACAACGTAAATAAAACAAACATATAAATACTTACACATAATTTACAAAACCACCAAGGATCTAATGTAGATACCGATGATGATGATGACGAACTTTTGGATTCGTTATTATTACTAGTAGTATTAGTAGGAGTATTATTGTTGAATTCATCGTTAACACCATTGACAACGCTGATACTATCATTTTCAATAATCGCATTTGATTCATTTGGTAATAACAATGATGATTGTACTGAAACTACAGTTAAATAAGATTCAGGTTCATCTTCAGTTAATGGAGGTAGCTTTCTAGTTGTCGATGGTAATAAATGAATTGCTGGTATACGATTAAGATAACATGTTGGACAAGCACGCATCAAATTAAACTCACGATGAAATGTACGATCTAGAAGACGTGCAGATGATGTAATAGAAGAACTGGCTAAAATTAAAGAAGAAAAATGAACACTTTTAGCGAAAAATTGATTTATCCCGAAATGCCATTTTCAACTACAATCTAACTGGATTATTGATGTGTTATGACTTCGATAACTGACGCAACATTTTGATTTGTCCACCCCTAACTTTCTTCTAACCATCCCCAACACTAGTATGCATTGCGCGTTAAGGTAATAAGTATTCAAGCATACGTAACACGAGACCGAACCATCTCAATCGATGAAGATTTGCAACCTCATCAACTGATTTGCCACCATTCTCTAATACCTTGAGTCTAACCTCATTATAGCTTACACGGTGATCCCAGTAGATGCGAGTAATATTTCTAAGGCATCTGTGGTCAAATACTAGTAGCTTACGAGTATCCTCTACCCTTAATGGCCATTGAAAGAACCCTCTAAAAGTGTGCAATTATAACACCACATCGGACCAAGACCAAGACCTTCATATCTTACTGTAAGCAAGACATACTTAGAACCGCTGATTTGAAATCCTGTGGTCCATATTTTACGCTACCAGATGCGTTGCATACTCGATGATTTACTACTAGTTTAACATCATTATGACGTTAAAGATAGTCTACATAAGCATTTGACCCATTTTATATATAGTTTTGAATAATCTTGCAGATAATATTTAGTTCACCATTGTTATGAACTCATTTATTACGACCAAGACACTCTTATTGCTTAGTAGTCTTGGGCACTAATTCACTCGGCAACTTTCCATATCAGAACACGGTTGAACAGGAACGTAATTATATTCCAAGTAAAAAAAGGTTGAATTGAAGTGAGTATTACCATAAGAGAAACATTAGTATATTGATAATTTTTTACACAATAATATTCTAGAGTTTTTGCCAAGTATCCGCTAGCGTTGATTGGTTAAGAAACAGCCAGTCAGAGTGTTCCAATACAATCCTGTATGGAATATGCCTTATTGAATCTAAATCCTGCTAACAACCACTGAATTTAATCGTAACCATCATTTTCATATATACATACTATTGTTCACTGGGAAAAAAAAAGTTACAAAAGAAACACTCACCACCATTAAATATGATACAATTATGAAGTATCCATCGGAAATCTCCAAGAAAAGCTTGAGGTGAAGAGTATTGACCTGATTTAACACGCTGATCCACCAAGAAATACCCATATATACAAAAGAAACATAAATATGAACTTTTATTATGTGGAAGTAAAAAAACGGCGAGACTATATTTTATGGATGAACCAATCAGACTTACGATAACAGGTCTGAGATTTTGGCGCGAAATTCATTCACACATTTCGCGAAATAGAGTCTTGGTATTATAGCTGATGTAAGTTTGTGATAAAAACCCTAAATCTAATTCCTAACCCTAACCAACCATCAACTGTAAATCATAATCCTTATTTTTCAAAATGGTTTATAATCCTCATATAGCCCTAGTAGGTAGGCACTATCAAGGCCACTATAGCGTCGCTCAAAGGTTGTCCATAAATTATGGTCTCACAGAAACAGTGATAGCTCAAGACACTATAATGACGGAAAAACAAGAGATAAACCAATCAGTCATAATCAATGTAGGATTTAACAGAAATAACCATTGACTCTCACGCTCCTCTCCGTCAACAGAACAAGCTAAAGCCAACGCCTTTCACCGGAACATTCCGCTCGACGCCGCCTCTACGCATCAGACTGCCCCAACTAGCACCTCAGCCACAAGCCCGCAACGGCGTTCACAGAACAGCACCCGTCCCGTCCAGGTTGGCAGCGACACCAAATGTAGTAAGCAAAACACGGGTGGGGACAATCAAATGTATTTAACAGAAAATTACAGGACTTGTTAATAAACTCTAACAATCATCAAGTAAATGCTTAATTTGCAAAATGTCCATCAATTGTCTCAAAATGACTCAGACATCATTGTTCTTGTATTTTCATACAAATTGCATTCTGTTCCCATTCTTTACTGTTCGATCCACTTATCTCTCAACTGGCAGACCTTCTGTTTACGACTAACATCATATATTACTCATGTCAATATAAGTAGCAAACACCACAATGTTTATTCGGAAAAACACAAGTACAAATCTAAGTGAGATATTGATTGACTAAATCAAGTAGGTTATCAAATGCAGATGCATTTACACTAAGGTTATGAATTACTTGTATAAAAGTTCAGTCAATAAAAAAAAAGCAAACAAGCATATGACTAGTTAATAAAACGTTAAGTAGTAAAGATTTTGCACAAAAATACAACTACTTCTAAGTAATATAGTTAAGTAAAATTGCAAAATTTTAATTAGAGGTATTAGGATGTAAACTTTAATTTTAAATGGAGACGAATGAAGAGATAAATTACTACACATGCCGCCTATAGCCTTCCTAATGTTACTGACAAACTAGAGACCAGGTAAAATAGGGAGGGTGGATATGGGTCAAACACCTAGCTATGACAGCCAAAAAAGCTGCAACAAAAGGAAATATCAAACAACTATATAACACAACGAAGGAAATGACAGGGAATTATAGTAAATCAGAGAGACCGGTCAAGGACAAATAAGGTGAGCTAGTCACTGAGATTCAAGAACAGAAGAACAGATGGGTAGAAAACATTGATGAACTCTTGAATAAGCAAGCTCCATTAACTCCACCAGATATCGAAGCAGTACATACAGACTTCCCTATAGCTGTCACTCCACCAACGATCGAAGAAATCAAAGTGGTCATAAAAAAACAGCAGCATCTGACAATATACCACCTGATGCTCTGAGGTCAGACAGAAGTAACTGCAAACATGATCCATATTCTGATCGGGAAGATTTAGGAATAACAGCAAATGCCGACAGACTGGAAAGAAGGACACCTCGTCAAAATAACAGAGAATGGAGATCTGAGCAAATATGAGAACTGTGGAGAAATCAAACTACTATCGGTAGCAGGAAATGTTTTCAACACTGCTACTAAACTGGATGAAACACTCAGTAGACGCCCAACTTTTAGATCAACACCACAGATTTCGTAAGCATTGGTCGTGAACAGACACAATCGCCAAACTAAGGGTCATCGTTCAGCAATTAATTGAATGCAACTCATCACAGTACATGAATTTCCTTGATGACTATGAGTCGATAGGAGAACCTTATGGAACCTTCTTTGACACTATAATGTACCTTAGAAAATCGTCAACATCATCCGCAATTCGTGAGACGAAGTACACTACAAAGTCATGTATGGAGGACAACTAAGAGTCACACAATGCTGCCTAATCTCCTTCTTTCTCTTTCTTCTGGTGGTGGTCGACTGGATTATTATGACCATATCTCAGGGAATACACGGAATACAATGGAGAGCTTGTATGCAACTAGACGATTTGAACTCTGCAGATGACCTGACCCTTCTATCCCATAAACACCAACAAATGCAGGTTAAAACAACCAGTGCATTAGAAGCCCCTGCATCAGTGGGTCTAAACATACACAGAGGAAATAGAGAAATTCTGAAGAAAAACATGGACAACACCAACTCAATCACACGTGATGAAAAAGTTTTGAAAGAGTTGGACACTTTCACGTACCTGGTCAGTATCATCCATGAACAAAGAGGACCCATTGTAGATGTAAAGGTAAGGATTGTAAAAACAAGGACAACATTCATACACTTGAAGAACATATGGAACTCAAAACAACTGTCTATCAACTAATATCAAAGTCACAATCTTCAATACCAACTTCAACATAGTTCTACTGTACAGAGCTGAAACTTCGAGAACTACTACAACCATCATCAAAAAGGTTCAATCATTTACAAACACTTGTGTCTACACAAGATACTCAATGTTAACTAGTTGGATACCATCAGCAATAGCCTACTATGAGAGAGAACAAACTAACATCCAACTGAAGATGAAATTAAGAGAAGACATTGGAACTAGATAGGATATACATTGCTGAAATCATCAAACTGCATCACGATCCAAACGCTAACTTTGAATAGTGAAGGGAAACGGAAAAGAGGAAGGTGGAAGAACCAACTACGTTGGGAATTGAAATCAGACATCAAAAGGATTAATAGCAACTGACAGAAACTGGAAACGACTGTTCAGGACAAATTTCGATTGAGAATGTTGTTGAGAGACCTATGTTCCTCCACGAAGGGTAACGGGCGAAAGTAAGTAAGTGATAAAAATAAATAGCCCTTATTACTGAAAAAACTATTCATAAAAGAAACAGAGCATAATATTTAAACAGTTCATAGTAATAAGAGTGCCAGCAAAGGGGACAAATAAAACAGGAGTATATTATAATAAAAGCGATTATGAAATGGGCACATGGTGATAAAGGTAATCAGTGAAAGGGGGAACAACATTTTTAATAGTTTGAAATATGTCCGATATACATTCTGTCCACTTTGCCTTACGATCAATCAAAAAACGTGTTTTCCTAAAGGCATGATGAAGAAGGGTTTTGGTGGATATTATAATAATTTCAATGGTTGAGGTCAATTGAAGCTAGACCATCATGGGAAACTTGGAGGCACTGGACGGCCGTTTCTTCAGATTGTGGGACTCCTCAGCAGTGCGCATCCACGATCCCGCCCCGCGAGATTCGAAATGATGAAGAGTCTGGTTCTAACAAATAGTATAATTTTCCGAATTTGGTAACAAAGTGTTGTTGTTACTACTCTAAGTACATAAGTAATTTGCATCTACCTTAGTTTTATCTCAAATATGATTGTGTTAAGTTGTTTTATAATAAATTTACAAATCATATGACAGAACGACCTACACTTCACTGGATGATATTCCGTAAATCCCTAAATTTTCTGGTTGTTAATAGATTTCTCTTTTATGAATATATTACCATCTACTAATGAAATTTTTGAGGACTTATTGGGCTTCATGTATTCTGAATCTCATTCCAATGAGGTGTGAAAACACATAGATAGAAATTTATGTTGTATATCACTACATCCTATGATCTTTACATTTTTGATCACCTGAATTTGTTTAACAAATACTTAATCTGTCAGGAATCCAACACATACAAACATCCTAGCTATTTCAATGGATGTAGAAGATAACATGGATGAGATAATAACAAGTTGTTATCAAATATGTTGGACGTAGACTTTTCATCATAGATTTAGGAAAACACGCTTCTATATAATTTAACTTTAAATGTCTAAAGGTGATGAACTCTCTATAAATTTTAATGTTCTGGAGAAGAGTTGAAAGTATACATTATTGAGGAGTCTTCTACGTTAGGATTATGAATGAAAAACGGTCCATCGAGTTGTTCCTTAATAAAGGACCTAACCACATTTATTCAACCCAAACAGTACGGTCCAATCGCGTTTACAAGGAGAGCCAGACACAGCCCAGGTTTAATTCGAGTAGTACAACTTAATCCCACTTTAAGGAGAACTAGACACTAACCAAACTTGAAATTTGTTGCTTCTTTACCTCCATCATTTCATCAAGCAATGTTGATTTTCCTGTTCAGTTAACAAAATTTAATATACCCTAATTTAAATGGTTGTCCTTTTTTCTTACAAACTTCTTCACTAGGTGCAACCAGGTACAGTTTATTTTGGGCCACATTTCAAGTGTGAGGGCTAGAGATACAATCCTTTTACTCAAGCAGAAGTAGGTGCAGTGTAGTTTGAACTCAGGATTTAGAAGTTTAAAGTCAGACGTCCTAACTACTTGGCCACCGCTCCATAAAATGGATGTTTATGTGAATTCCGTTCGTGATGTAAGCTGTACTTTAAATAAGAAATTTACGACTAAGAAGATAATTCTCATCAGATTGTATGAAATCTGAACAAAATAAGGTAAACCTTTATTTCTTGATCTACTGGAATAAAAAGTCCGGCGAAACTATAATTTGTAGACGAACCAATCAGATTAAGGATAACAGGTCTTGGATTTTAGCGCGAAATTCATTCATCCTTTTGGCTAAATAGAGTTTAAGCATTATAACTTTTGTCAGTTTGTGGTGAAAACCCTAAATGTAATTCCTAACACTAACCATCAACTGTAAATCATAATTCTAATTCCTCATACTGGTTAATAACCCTCATTTTGTCCTAGTTATTAGGTGAACACATTACGTCGGGAAATAGAAGCAGATATGAAAAGGATGA